GAGTGATAATACATACACACACACAAAACAACACAACAACACCTGTAGCAAGCCCCTCAGCTACTCACGGAGGCTGAGCGCCAACGAGGACTGCTCTCGAGCCAGTGAGGGTGGTTTTCCGACGAGAGCTTTCGCTGAAGATCCGCCCGAAGGTCCTGATGCCTGGCACTCTCCGCCCCAGGCAAAGACAGACTCTCTACTCAAAAAAAAAAAAAGAAAGACAACAGAGCAATGCCTTCAAATACTGGAGAAAAATTAACTGATAATTAGTCAAACTTATAATTCAACCAGGGCGATAGAGTGATAATACATACACACACACAAAACAACACAACAACACCTGTAGCAAGCCCCTCAGCTACTCACGGAGGCTGAGCGCCAACGAGGACTGCTCTCGAGCCAGTGAGGGTGGTTTTCCGACGAGAGCTTTCGCTGAAGATCCGCCCGAAGGTCCTGATGCCATGGCACTCTAGCCCAGGCAACAGACTGAGACTCTTCTCAAAAAAAAAAAAAAGAAAGACAACAGAGCAATGCCTTCAAATTACTGGAGAAAATTAACTGATAATTAGTCAAACTATAATTCAACCAGGGCGATAACGGGGTCTCGCTCTTGCTCAGGCTGGTTTTGAACTCCTGACCTTGAGCAATCCGCCCGCCTTGGCCTCCCAAGAGCTAGGATTACAGGCGTGAGTCACAGCGCCCGGCCATTTATCTCTTTTTTGAAGCAATGACTGGATGTCTTCCTCTACCCGGTAAGTTGGCCTATGTTTTACATTTCTATTTCTATGTAAGCACATTTTGATATTTCTCTTTATTAAAAAAAATTAATAAAATAGAAGCAGCAGAAGATAAAATCCAGGCTCGCTCTCTTTACTTCATAACCCTAACCTTAACCCCTCCAGGTTAAGGCTCATCTTAAACCTTAACCCCTCCAGGAAGCCTTTATTGCCAAATGAGTTCCATGAGTTAACACCTTTCTGGCCATCTAGGCAATGTGTCAGCCCCAATTTTTATATTCAGTGATAAACAGCCCTAGACTGGTCTTTAGTGGTTTAATCTATGTTACCCTGATTTCAGGGATTTCAATGTAAGTCATCTGGAAGCTGGGCAGATGTAGCCCGTTGTTCTTGGGGTGTCCTGTACAGTCAGGCACGTAGGAGCTGCTTTACAAAACACCGAATTAAGCATAAACTGGCACTATTCAAGGGTGCCATTTCTCACTCAGGAACACATTAGTAGAAAGCCCCAAACCTTACCAGGAGCAGCTACAACAGCAGCACCAGCAGAAGCAGCAAGCATTGGACCCTCGACTGCCCACTCCCTGCGGGCCGGGCGCGGCCCCCGGTGCCTCGTGGGCGGCGGGCATCTGCCGCTTGCGCATCTCCGTCCGCTCGGATCCCATGGGCTGCAACAGGGAAGGAAAGCGGGGAGGCTGCGGGGCGGGCCGCGGAGTTACGACCACAAAACCCCAGGGGTTCAGCTGTCTGGATCACTGAGAAGATACAATATGACCATACTAGGGTCATTTTTACTAATTCTGGCAAAATCCGGTGTTTAGAATCTTGAATCCGTTACTTTATCAAACATTTAATGTCCAGCACCTGCCAAGCTTTGGGATACATTCTAGGAATGCAATGGCAGGAGGAGAGGAGGCAGACGCTGTGGGAAGCCGTACAATTTGGCTCCCTCTGGCCCCAATCAAAGGGGAGCAGTGAGTGCCACAGCTTAACTACAGCGCCCGTGAGGCCAGCGCACACGTAGATGCGGAAAGAAGACGCCCAGAGAAGGTCTCCCAACTGACACAGCAGGCTGGGGGGCAGGGGGGTGGTTCTGGGAGGCCAGACCGACGAGCTTTGGATCTTTCCTAGCTGCGTCACTTTGCAGAAGTTACCCAGCTTGGTACATGCGAAACACTCAGCACACCTGGTACAGAGTAATTGCTCAATTATTGCCAGGAAGAGAGGCAGGAGAGCCAGACTGTGGCCTGCCCCGACCTGCCATGCCATCGCAGGGACGTCGCCCGGGCCCACCTCAATAGAGGCCAGGCCACCGGACACAAGAGGTCTATGTCCCACAGCCTCTGTCCTGTTGTTGGGGACTCCAGGAATGTGTGAAGGAGAGAGACATAATACAGCATAAGAACTGAGAAATTGCTAAGCCTATTTTTCCTTTTGTTACTATCATTGAAAAATTTTTTTTTTTTTTGAGACAGAGTCTAGCTTTGTTACCCAGGCTAGAGTGAGTGCCGTGGCGTCAGCCTAGTTCACAGCCACCTCAAACGACTGGGCTCAAGCAATCCTGCTGCCTCAGCCTCCCGAGTAACTGGGACTACAGGCATGCACCACCATGCCCGGCTAAGTTTTTCTATATATATTAGTTGGCCAATTAATTTCTTTCTATTTATAGTAGAGATGCGGTCTTGCTCTTGCTCAGGCTGGTTTCGAACTCCTGACCTCAAGCTATCCGCTCGCCTCGGCCTCCCAGAGTGCTAGGATTACAGGTGTGAGCCACCGCACCTGGCCTATCATTGAATTCTTGATAGAGCCAATTGCAATCTAATAGCCAAGATATAATCAAGAGCCTTACAAGTAGGACTTTGGAATTAAATCCTAGATTTATTATTCTATGCCAACATGAGATTTCTCTTTCCCTCTTCAGTATTATCTGGCCTTATATGGTACTGGACTTTGTTTATAATTATTCTAATTTTATTATGTTTTTTATATTGGGTAGGTCAAGTTCTCATTAACTTAAAAGGTTCTTGTTTGTTTGTTTTTGGAGGTGAGGGGCTGTTTTTGCCTGTTTTTTTTCTCCCAGTTGAATTTTGGAATCGGTTTGTCAAGGTCCAAAAATGTCATGTTGGGATTTTGATTAGGGCTACATTGAATATACAGATTTATGGGTATCTTTTATTTAGCATGGTGTGTAAGTTTCAAGATTGTGAGAGAAGAGACCTATGAAAGGGTTTTACCATCCCTTCATCGGGTAAACAAAGCCCCAACACCCAGACACCACTCACATGCCCACTTGGTCAAAAGGTGGCGGCAAAGATATGTGCCCAACTCATAGCCATGTTTTATGGGCACCCTTGGGGGACGGCTTTGAAGGCAGAAAGGGTTCTAAGCCCCTTTAATGCCCAGAGCAGAACTCTAGGCTCAAGTGACTCCAGGCCTCACTTGCTCACCTCACCTGTGACGTTGCAATGGAGGCAGAATGACCACAGCGTCACTCATTCAGGACAGCAAGGCCCAAGGACAAGCCAGGACAATCTCCAAACTCCAAATAAAGATGCTTTGAACAGAAAGTGGTGCTCCAGATAACCACTATTTTCTAAGAGATATTGATGAAACTTGTTTCATTACAGAAAAATATCCCAACTGCTTCCCAGAAGCAAGACTGTGGCATGGTGCTGTCCAAGAGTTTCAAGGGAGTCCTATTTCAACATCTCAGTCAGTACATGAAATATCTTTTCCCTTATATCCTCTCTCATGTATAATTTAAGAGTTTTCTTCAAACAGGTCTTGCACATTTTTGATAGCTTTATTCCCGAATATTTTGTGGATTTATTTTTGCTGCTGTTATAAATGCCATCTCCCCCTTGCTCCCAAATGTCTTCTAAGTAGTTATTTTGGAGTATAGGAAGGATAAGAATACTACATTGAATTCTCTCACAGTTCTTGTAGTTTTTCAGTTGTTTCTCTTGGATTTTCTAGTTAGGTGGTAATACTGTCTGTAAATAATCAATCACTCTACTCTCTTTCCTTCCTGTACCTTTCCAAGGTATCTGTCTTTACCCTGGTCTTATTTCATTGGCTAGGAAGTTCAGTAAATATTTAAAAAAGCAATACTATTAGGTATCCTTGTCATCTTCATGACTTTCTTTAATGAGGAGATTGGTAATGCTATGTCGATATGTATAATGTGTGTTGGAAGTTTCTGAAAGATAACTTTAAAAGTTAAACAGGCTTTTGTCTACTATTTACATAGTATAAAATAAGTTATGGGCTCAGTGGTGTACACCTAGTCCCAGTTACTCAGAAGTCTGAAGTAGGAGGACAGTTTGAGCCTAGGAGTTCAAGTCCAACCTGGGCAACATAGCAAGACCCTGTCTCTAAAAAAATAATATGATACATTTTTTAAAAGTTAAAAAAATGAGGGAGCTCTGTAGCCTGTTATGGAATGATCTCTAAGAATATTATAAAATAAAAATTATTTTAAAAATAAATTGTGCTAGCCTGTCTTACTGGTTAACATACTTTATTTACTTATATACAACTATTTCCTTATAAATATCTGGAGAAATCTTAGTGATTTATTGAGCAAACTCTTAGAGAACATCCTTAAGGATGCTCATGACTAAATATAGCCTTCAGAAGTCAAAAGCAAATTCTATTAAAGTCTGTTCTTATACATTTTTAAAAACAGCTTTATTAAAGTCTAATGGACACACAACAAACTACACATATTTAAAATGTATACTTTAATAAGTTTTGACATGTATATACCTGGGAAACCATCACCACAATCAAGATGGTGAACACCTATCACCCTCAGAAGCTCCCTGTGCCCCTGGGGAATTCCTGTCTCATTCTTTCCCTCCTACACCTCACTGCCCCTGGACAGTCACTGCTTTCTCTCTACATATCCATTAATTTGCATTGTCTTGAATTTTATATAAATGGGGAACTACACAATATATTTTGTTTTTGGTCTGGTTTTCGTCACTTAACATAATTATCTTGAGATTGTTGCCTCGGTTGATAGCTCTTTTTTTATTCCTGAGCAGTATTCCATTGTATGGATTTACCACAACTGATGGACTCACACCTTTTTGATGGTTGCTGAAAAGAGTAAATATATAAGACACTGTCTTCTTTTGAACATGAAAGTCTTTACTCAGATGAATTGAGAGGGGTGTATTACTAAGACTGTGTTCACATTTACTGCAACGTATACAGTCGTCACACATTTCTGGGGTTCATTCTTCCATACTGAATGATGCTTAGTGATTACACTCATTGGTATTGCTTTGAATTAGTTCTAGGTTGTTAAGCATTTTTCTAATTTATAATTTCTCATGCTTCTTTTCAGTGTTCTTTGTCTCAATTTATCTTTGTAGAGTTCCCATATGGTCTCATAATCTATAATATTTAATTTTTCCTCTGTATCATTAGCACTTCTTATATGGTTTCTCAGAATTCTTATGCATAGTTCAATAATTCTGATATCTTAAATCATGTAAAGATTTGATAAATAAGTGTGCAGAAATACTTGCTATTCCTGTAAAAATTTTCTAAGCACTTATCACTTTTCTAGTACCCAATATTTTAAATTAATGGGGATGGTTTTTGTTCAGTTGTTAAATGCTGAAGTGTTTAGTGGTGGTGCTCATTTATGCCATACACTGATGAGCTGTGGAGAAATATGACAGTCTGAGAGGAAGTAAAAGTGTTAATAAATATGAAAATTAAAAGGAAGCAAATATTGATAATTGTTAAAGTTAATGTGATTAACACATAGGGTTTGTTATTCTATCCTCTCTACATTCATGTATGTTTTAAATTTCCATAATAGCATTCTTAAAATGTTTTATTCTATAGCTTTTTAAAAATCTATTGGAGGCCAGGTGTGGTGGATCACGCCTGTAATCCCAGCTGAGGTGGGAGGCTGAGGTGGGAGGATTCCCTTGAGGCCAGGAGTTTGAGACCAGCCTAGGCAACATAGCGAAATGCCATCTCTACAAAAAATTAAAAAAAATTAACCAGGCAGAGTGGTGTGTTACTGTAGTCCTATCTACTCGGGAGGCTGAGGCAGGAGGATCACTTGGGCCCAGTGTTTGAGGCTGCAGTGAGCTGAATCACATGGAATCGGTCCTGTTTGACAACGTTATTCTATTCCTCTGTTCGTGTGTCTCTGGAAGAGAATGCTGGTCATTTCGTTGCTCCTTTAGATGATTCCAGCATGTCACCTGCACACATCCCCCAGGGTCTGGCTGCCCTTGCTTAAGGTCCTGGGGCTCAGAAACTAGGTGACTGTAAGGCAATGCTACCAACCTCACATGCTTCTGTAATTCATGGCATTTCACAAGCAGCCTGAGAAAATGGGAATAATACAGGTTGGCAGCTTATTAAATATTTCAGATCTCAACTGAGAGATAATCCTACCCAAATGAGGCTTTAACCTAACTATAATCCGCTCAGAAAAGCTTTATCTTATTTTCTGTTAAACTGAAACTTGGTGGCTTGATTCCATTAACAGCTATTTATTTTCATTATAGTTTCCAAATTCTGACAATAGCCAATATTGAATTATACATTGGAAATATGATGAAATATCAAGTATTATGTGAAAAAAATCTCTTATCTCTTAAAGCCTAAGACCCGAGTTCCTGTTCCATAAAGATAG